AAAATGCCATTACAGTTATCATTAATGTGTATGTTGTTTTTTTTATCATATATTTTTTTCGCTTTACGCAGGAGTTGAGATGCTTAAAAAAAATAAGGTAATTTACACATCTTCCAGGAACAAGGATAGTGAGGCTCCGGAGTCTGTGTGGGAGAACAAGTTGGTGGAATGAACGAAAGATGAACAATGATGATTAATGATGAACACTGATGATGAATGATGAACAATGATGATGAATGATGAACAAGAGATATTTAAACCAAAACATTGAAACATTTTCCTTTTACTGAACGATCAAGATGGTGGGGAGGAGTTGGAGGTGAAGTTGAGGAATATCCTGACCTGACCTGACCTGACCTGACCTGACCTGACCTAACCTGACCTGACCTGACTTGACCTATCCTAACACATAAAGAAACTAGACATATTTCTGCAGGTTTCTTGTTAATTTTGAGTCCTGACAGAGATTTTCGTTACCCAGGTCTTAGAGATGTAAGACTCATTAACAAATTGCAAGACTACTATAACTTGTGGTCATGTTTCTAACGCATTATGCTAATTGGAAATTTATTTTTATTTTACGTAAAAGTTTTTAAGTGCACCCAAGCTGCATTTAGTTACAGATTCTGACGCGTCGAAACACTTTACCTTTTAAGAATATTGTATCTTCTACCCAATAAAGGAGTTTTATACCATTAAGAAAGATCATTTAGAAAAAGACTTTGGACTGCGGGTATATTCTGAAAGCGAGTCATAATGAATGTAGAAATTACTAGACAAAGAGCTAATAATATTCATGGATATCTGAGGCGTCATTTTTGTTTTCCAAGGCGTAATAAATTATCCCTCACACTTCCACACACCAACATCGTATAAGGCACAGTTATTCAGATTCGTTTAACTAGTTCCTACACACATTACACCACGAATACCACCAATTAGATATAAAATTCCTTATCACAGTACAATAGAATGATCTTGTTAACTATCTCACTGTGGGTCAATCACCTTAATGACTGGATTACAGATGGGAAAGCTTAAGGTCACTAGAACTGGGTCAAACTGGTGCTCGCTATTCACTACGACTGGAGCGGCGGAAGATTGGAACAAATGTGTAGGAGGAGGAGGAGGGCAGAGGAAGAGGCCAGAGAAGGAGGCCAGAGGAGTAGGGCAGAGGAGGAGGGCAGAGGAGGAGGCCAGAGGAGGAGGCCAGAGCAAGAGGGCAGAGGAGGAGGCAAGAGTAGGAAGTCAGAACAAGAGGCCAGAGCAAGAGACTAGAGAAGGGGGGAAGAGCAGGAGGCCAGAGGAGGAGGTCAGAGTAAGATGCTAGAGCGGGAGGCAAGAGGAGGAGGTCAGCGTAGGAGGTCAGAGCAAGAGGCCAGAGCAATAGGTCAGAGCAAGAGACCAGGGAAGGGGGGCAGAGCAGATGGTCACGGCAGGAGGCCAGACAACAGCGTACTTGAGATTTATGGTGGGAAGAGGAAGCCACTTTGTGTTTAGAGTCGCTGATCCAGGCCCTAACTGTGAGTAATGCCGCCAGGGTCGTGAGGGAACTGTGAAGACATCTCACCTCTCCCTCCCTCCCTCCCTCACCTTCTCCCATCCCCTCTCCCCCAGTTTCTCACCTCCCTGACCCTGTCTTGTCCCCTCCTCTCAGCCACCTCCCAACAATTTTTCTCTCTCCTACCCCCTCCACCCACCTTTCACCTCCCCTCCACCACCTTTCCCTACCCTCCACCCACTCACCTCCTCCACCACCTTCACTTTCCCCACCTTCCTCTCTCACTTCTCCCCTACCTTCTACCCACCTTCTCACCTCCCTCCTCCAACCTTCTCCTCACCTCCACCCACCTTCACCTCCACCACCTTCTTCACTCTCCCCACCTTCCTCCCACGGGTCCTCAGGTCAGAAAGATCAAGGTACTCAGCAGGCTAGACGCATCACGTCGCGGCCTGAGCTGTCACCTTAGTTGACGGCAGGAAATATTCACCGAGGGAGGCGCTGAGGCCAGGCACTGGGAATACAACTTCTGAAGGAGGATGAAAGATCTGCTCAGGTATTACGTGACGCAAACACCTGAGGGAGATAAAACAGAACTGAGGGCGGCGATGGTGTCATGTGCGGCGATGAAAATGCGGCGATGGTACTCATGTGCGGCGATGGTACTATGTGCGGCGATGGGTTCATGTGCGGCGATGGTACCATGTGCGGCGATGGACTCATGTGCGGCGATGGTACTCATGTGCGGCGATGGTACTCATGTGCGGCGATGGTACTTGCCATGGTACTAGCGGCGATGGTACTCATGTGCGGCGATGGTACTCGTGTTGATGGACAAAATAAGAAGAAAAACAAGATTGACTCATAAATAAAAATATATTTCAAGTATTAATGTGAATAGTCTATATTTTTTTTATTGGTTGTTTTAGTTATTCATAATTTATCGAAAATCTCAATCAGTTTCTTCTGTTTTTTGTGTTTTTGGTGGGATATATTTTGCATTACCGTATACATTCGTCCCTTTATGCAGTAGCCTCATGCTTTGATTATTGTTCCACGTTAGCTGTGGGGTTAGAAGGGGTAGGGGGGTAGGGTGGGTAGGGGCAGGTAGGGGCAGGGGTAGGGTGGGGTAGGTGGGTGGGTAGGGGTAGGGTAGGTAGGGTAGGTAGTGGGCAGGTAGGGTAGGGCAAGGTAGGTAGGGAGTAAGGTAGGTAGGTAGGGTAGGGTAGGCAGGGCCGTACCTGCTCAATCACTTACCACCACAAACACCTCAACACTAGGCCTCTAATTCGGAAAATTAAGTTTTATAATTAATTAACAAAAGATAATTGAAAACCACGATTGGAATTACCTGACAAACACATCCATGAATACAACCATTAATGAGGCTGAATAATGCCTTTGTTTATAAGACTCCCAGGAGGCTGCGTGTCACACCACCATCGCTACACCACACTACACCACACTACACCATACCATCCTCAGCCCTACAGTGTTGCCAACCACCAGGTCGAAATAATCTTTCTTTAATCCCGAATATAATTTATATTTTTTGCCAGATCATCAAGTTGACTCGAGATGACAACTGGCATGGAAACGTTGAGGCGGAGATATATATTGAGTGGCATAAAAAAAAGAGAGAGAGAGAGAGAGACGGACACACAGAGATAAAAGTGTCTCTTCTAAATCTTTTCACCAACACATTTTTTTTTCACTTTTTGCCGGAAACACCAGAATTGCACCATCTCATCACCACTATCACCACCATCATCATCACCACTATCACCACCATCATTATCACCACTATAAAGTCAAATAAACATTAATTATTGAAAATGTAAAAAACGAAAAAATCCACAAGTCTACGGTGTTACCTTACCATATTTCACTTCCTCTGCTACTATCGGCCGCTCGTGTCTCTCTCTCTCTCAATATCTCACCCTCCTATCTCTCTCTCTTTATCTCGATTTCATCCCTTTATTTCTATCTACTATTTTCCTTCTTTCCTTATGATTTTTTCCCTAATTTTTTTTTTCCATCTTTCCTTTCGTTCTTTCCTTGGGTTTGTTGTCGTCCGCAGTAACTCAATATAGTAAAGGGAAAAAGATGATAAATTGTAAAAACTCTTTTCTTACTATTTATCTAGTAAGTCTCACACACACACACACACACACACACACACACACACACACACACACACACACACACACACACCATTAGCTGAACTGTTTAGGTTGAGTAGTTAGTGCTAGGTTATGGGGGGGGGAGAGAGAAGGAAGGAGGAAGGAAGGAGAGACAGACAAACAGACACAGACAGACAGACAAAGAAGACAGACAAAACACAGACAGACAGACAAAGATAAATATGGTAAATTATACTGACAATTAAATAAAATAATTTACTTTTTATTTCAACCTATTACCAAATAACACCAAATAAATAACCAAACCAAATCTAAATAAACAAACCAAACCCAATCAACCAAACCCAATCAACCTAACATAAACCAAACAACCTAACCTAACCAAACCAAACACAAATATAAACAATGAAGCAATATGATAACAGATGGATTGAACTAAGAGAAATGACTTACCAACACAACTAAGCATGTGTGTGTGTGTGTGTGTGTGTGTGTGTGTGTGTGTGTGTGTGTGTGTGTGTGTCGTTTACAAAAGGTATGGACCAATCTTAGCCATTGTACAGTATTTTATCACGAAGGAATAGGGTCTAGTAGTGGTAATGGTGGTAGTGGTGATGGTGGTGGTGGTGGTGGTAGTGATGATGGTGGTAGTGATGACGATAGTAGTGGTGGTGGTGGTGACGAGGATAGTGAGAATGACTTTAATGGTGATGGTAGTGATGCTTGTGGTGTTGATGGTGATAGTGATGATGGCAACAGTGGTGGTGAGAATGGGAGGTGAAGCGGAGGTCTCTTCCAAAGTATATAACTCGTGGCCAGGTTTTCAAAGTATATAACCTCAGGTTGTGGTTCTTCCAGTATATAACTGTATTGTCTCAAAGTATACACAGGTCTCTTTCCAAAGATAAACTCAGGCCAGGCTCCAAAGTATATAACCGTATCGTGGTTCTCTCAAAAGTATATAACTCGTGGCCAGGTCTCTTCCAAAGTATATATCTACCAGAGGGAAAAGTTTGGAAAAGTCATTACGACTGTCATAGCGTGAGACTGCAGTTGGGGACGATTCCTAACTTAACCTAACTTAACCTAACTTAACCTCAAATGCCAAGGTAATCCCAGTCCACCCAACGGTAATTGCGTCCTGAATTTTACAAGTTGGGAATGTGAAGGCGGGATTGTGCGTTGTGTCGGCCGTGATGCAACCTTGTGTACGCAAACTTAAGTACACAGTGCGCTACAAACACGAACTATAACAGATTTATGTAGAGATATAATTTAATACATAGCTACAAAAAACATGAAAAAAATAGTAAAATTATATACAAATTATCTTAAAATGCGTCAATATTACTTACCTTGAGTGGCGGGAGTAATTAAGGTAGGCAGGACCAGGTACACCTCAACACAAGTAGAATAAGAAGAATCAAGATTAAAGACAGAACCAGGTAAAAGAACTGTAACCAGGTAGATTAATTACAACAATGAAATAAACTCCATAATAAAATAAAATTAATAATAATCACAACCCATAACTGTAATAGCCTCAGTTGTTAATTAAGATGTTATAAGAATATTTTTAATTAGTGTTATATTTAAGTTATGATTAAATAAACACACAGGTATCCAAAATAATAATGTTAAATAATAAAACACAGTATCATGAGGCCATTTAATGATTATAATAAAACAGATTCCAAACACCACACAAACACAGAGACAAACTTACATGTGAAGGATGGAGACAGACAGACAGACAGACAGACAGACAGAGACAGAATTAACAGCTGATACCATAACCCACCAATCCAACACCAGGTAAGGTTCAGTTATACATCATAGCATCTGTCCAAACACCCTATACTATATTACCCCCAGAGAGATTAATGATTGAGATGGTCGTTCGTCTGTAATGGTTGAGGTGGTCGTTTGTCAGTGATGAGGAACCTTGCACGACCACACACGACTCAAGTTACGATAACGACTCGATCTGTTTATGGGAAAAGGATGTTAGTTGATGATGTGTGTGGGGGAGGGGAGGTGTGTGTGGGGGAGAGGGGGTGTTTGTGGGGGGAGGGGAGGTGTGTGGGGAGGGAGGTGTTTGTGTGTGGGGAGGGGGTTTGTGTGTGTGGGGGAGGGGGAGGTGTGTGGGGGAGAGGGGTGTTTGTGTGTGTGTGGGGGGAGGGGAGGTGTTTGTGGGGGGAGGGGTGTTTGTGGGGGAGGGGGGGTGTTTGTGGGAGGGTGGGGAGGGGGTGTTTGTGTGTGGGGGAGGGGGTGTTTGTGTGTGTGGGTGAGGGGGTGTTTGTGTGTGGGTGAGGGGGTGTTTGTGTGTGTGGGGGAGGGGGGTGTGTGGGGGAGGGGGTGTTTGTGTGTGGGGAGAGGGGTGTGTGTGTGTGGGGAGGGGGTGTTTGTGTGTGGGGGAGGGGGGGTTTGTGTGGGGGGGAAGGGGATGTTTGTGTGTGGGGAGGGGAGGTTGGTGGGGAGGGGAGGTGTTTGTGTGTGGGGAGGGGAGGTTTGGGGTGGGGAGGGGTGTTTGTGGGGAGGGGGGTGTTTCAGGGGAGGGGTGTTTGTGGGGAGGGGGTGCTCAGGTGGGAGGTGTTGTGTAGAGGTAGTGGGGTGTGGGTGGGAGGGGGGGTGTTAGTGTGTGGGGGAGGGGGTTTGTGTGTGTGGGGGAGGGGGTGTGTGTGGGAGAGGGTGTGTGTGTGGGGAAGGGAGGGGGGTGTGTGTGTGGGGGAGGGGGGTGTTTGTGTGTGGGGAAGGAGGTTCAGTGTGGGGGAGGGGGAGGTGGCTAGGGGAGGGGAGGTGTTTGTGTGGGGAGGGGGAGGTGTTTGGTGGGGGAGGGTGGTCAGGGGGAGGTTTGTGTGTGTGGGAGGGGTGTCAGGGGGGAGGGGGGGTGTTGGGGGGAGGGGGTGTTTGGGGGAGGGTTAGGGGGAGGGGTGTGTGGTGTAAGGAGGGGGGTGTTAATGTGTGGGGGGGTGTTTAGGGAGGGGGGGGTTTGTGTGTGTGGGTGAGGGGGTGTTAGTGTGTGGGGGGAGGGGGGTTAATGTGTGGGGGAAGGGGGTGTTAATGTGTGTGGGAGGGGGTGTGTGTGTGGTGAGGGGAGGGGGGTGTTTGTGTGTGTGTAGAGGGGAGGGGGTGTTTGTGTGTGTGGTGAGGGGAGGGGTGTGTGTGTGAGGGGGGGGGTGTTTGTGTGTGGTGAGGGAGGGGGGTGTTTGTGTGTGTGGGGGAGGGGGGTGTTTGTGTGGTGAGGGAGGGGGGTGTTTTGTGTGTGTGGGAGGGGTGTTTGTGTGTGGGGGAGGGGGGGTTTGTGTGTGTCAGAAGATGAGTGAATCGTGAGTCGTTCTCTCATTATTTCCTTCGTCAAGTGAATACAAATACGTCACTGGAGCACCGTGTTTACATTTATCTGATTGGTCGTGCTGATACACATCTGCTTCTCTCCCGTCCAATCAACACACGAGATAATTAATCGAACATCAGAAGCCATAGTGTAAAAACACAAGTACAGAGGGTATAAGTGTGTGTGTGTGTGTGTGTGTGTGTGTGTGTGTGTGTGTGTGTGTGTGTGTGTGTGTGTGTGTGTGTGTGTGTGTGAAAAATCTTGTTATTCAAAAATGAAAACAAAATCCCACTGTATATGAAAATTTATAAATACACTCGACGGGAGATGGATAAAAGACGTAAAAAACAAGTAAAGATAATTAAGAAGAGAAAACTAAAGTACGGGAATATTATTAAGAGGAACTGATATTGTAGAGGTCAGGAGGTTGTGGTGGTAGAGGCCAGGGGAGGTTGTGGTGGTGGTAGAGCAGTGGCCTCAAGCGACCCCAGGCAGATCTACGAGGTAAATATAAAGCTTAGAGATGGACCAATGACCAGATGGATGGGTGATACATTGTTACGTCAGGGTGGTGCTCAGTGGGGGAGAGAAGAGTCTGTGGTGGTGCTCAGTGGGGAGAAGAGTCTGTGGTGGTGCTCAGTGGGGGAGAAGAGTCTTGGTGGTGGTGCTCAGTAGGGGAGAAGAAGTTTTTGGTGGTGGTGCTCAGACACAGAAAATTTAAAACTACAAGTTCAGGAAACATATGCGTGTGAGACCCACCAATAAAGCCATGATCACCTGAACACAAACTATCCTCAGAAGAAAGGTGATTCAGGTTAATAGCATCAGGCACACAGTAGTGAACACATTAACAATCAAATAAACTCACAGGTTAATTAAGCACATTTACTGGAGCTCACGCCCGAGGGACACTAAGTGAATTAATAATGAGAGATGATTATTATTTCTCTCGGGAACGCAAACTAAAAAGTCATTAAGGTAAATTATGTTCACTGACGCAGAGACTTACCTTGCTGGTTCGATATTGCTAATTTAAGTAAAGTAAATAATAATCTAAATGTATATAGGACGTAAGGTGAGGTACTGTGTGTTTACAGGTAATATTTATTGTTAATTAGTCTTTAATGCCGTCAAGAACATCAGGGAGGTGAGGATGATGTAGAGGTGTTTAGGTGAAGGAGGAAGGAAGGAAGAGAGGAGGAGGCAGAGAGGGAGGAGGGACAGAAAGAGGGGGGGAGGAGGCAGAGAGAAGAGGGAAGAGAGAAGGGAGAAAGGAGGCTGTGAGGCTGAACATGGTTTCTGTCAGGCGTCCCCTGTTACACTGGCAACAGTTCAGTTATGTGTTGTTGCTGTCCTGGTTATGATGAGGTAAACGCACGTGTGTGTGTGTGTGTGTGTGTGTGTGTGTGTGTGTGTGTGTGTGTGTGTGTGTGTGTGAGACAACTTTGATGATGGAGATCTGTAATTTAACTTTACTAACAAAAAAATTGTAAAAATAATTCCTTCCCGACCTTAACAGATTAAACTTACCCAGAATCATCAAAGGAAGCAAGTGGTGTGTCCAGACGTTCATAAGTTCTGTTCGTAAGTTCAAGTTTGGTTTATAAGTTCTGTCTGCGAAGTTCGGTTCGTAAGTTCGGTCTATAAGTCTCTGTTCGTAAGTTCGGTCTCATAAGTTCTGTTCGTAAGTTCCGTCTATAAGTTCTGTTCGTGAGTTCGGTCTATAAGTTCTGTCGTAAGTTCATAAGTTCGGCTTATAAGTTCTGTCCGTAAGTCTAGTGCTCGGTTCAAGTTCTGTCTCAAGTCTACAAGTTCGGTCATAAGTTCTGTTCGTAAGTTCATGTCTGGTCCATAAGTTCTGTTCGTAGTTCGGTTCATAAGTTTGTTCGTAAGTTCGGTTCATAAGTTCTGTTCGTAAGTTCGATTCATAGTTCTGTTCGTAAGTCCGATTCATAAATTCAATTCATAAGTTCGATACTTAAGTTCGGTTCAAGTTCAATTCATGAGTTCGGTTCCATAAATTCAATTCATAACCTTCCGAATCTTAAGCCCGGTTAAAAAATTCGTACATTTATAAGTTCGATTCATAAGTCAAGTTCACTTCCTCGAGAAAAACAAACTTAAAACTTTCCGAATCCACAACAACCACAGACGTTCTAAGACAATTACAAGAGTTAAAACAAACCCTAACTACCAAACGAGGTTGTTAGAGATCTGAAAATTAAATTGTTATACATGAAGTGATGAAAGAGTTTAATTCTTTACCTAGTACTTTCCTTCAGAGACAAAGTGACGGCCGGAGGAAAGTGCCCGTGTCAACAATTATCTATCTATCTATCTATCTATCTATCTATCCTTCTATTACATCTCATTAAATATAAAAAAAAAAAAAATATAAAAAAAAATAATCTCGAGACACTGTTGAGACACCTTGTATTAAATGGTTCCTAATTTCTCTCATCTCCTGTGTCTTAAACATTCTCACCTCTCAATTCTTCCTTCGTTCCTTTAGAACTGCATTTTCATTTCTTCACACAATAATAATATATCTTTAAGGTCGAGAGCCTCATTGATGGATCCTTGAGGACTTTGGCTACTCTCTCTCATCCGACCTCTTAACTTATTTTTTCTTCAGATTTTTTATTTTTAATTCTAGCATTTTAACTTGTATTTATATCACCATCAATCACGGCATTTATTGTTAGATTATTTTATTGAGTTAATTTTCCCCAAGGCTTTGAAGAGTGTGTGTGTGTGTGTGTGTGTGTGTGTGTAAAAACCATGATAGCAAGACCAGCAAAAATTGGATCCGATCAGATTTACCCCAGGCAAACATGAACCAGTTTATTGGAGGTTAGAGGTAAAGGTGGGAGGTGGAGGGGTGGGGAGAGGGTGGGAGGGGTGGGAGAGGGAGGTGAGGGGGAGAGGGGTGGGGAGGGGTGGGAGAGGGGATGGTGGGGGGTGGGGAGGGGGGAGGGGGTGGGAGGTGAGGGGAGGGTGGAGGTGAGGGGTGGGGTGGGGAGGGTGGGAGGTGAGG